TATTATATCGTGAGCCACCCAGAGTCAGTCTGGAGTCAGGTGGCACCAAATCATATCAAATCAAATCAAAAAATGAATAAATATTTTTCCTCCTTAATATTTCCAACTTTGGTATTGCAGGCTTCAACCACAGACAGCACATCTTGCTTACATGTTCTGTTGATTTCAAATTGAACTGGATCATAAAACTCATCAGCCTTTTTTTCTGTATCAATGGTTGGAATATAAACTTGGATAATCATCGTATTAAAGGGTTGTCCAGAAAATCTATTGTCTATTTAGTCACTGATTGCACTGTAGCCCAATACTGTTTTTGCTATACCTTTCTTAACTATGAAAGCAATGCTATTCCTTCATTGTTTTTCATGTCCTGGATAGTAATTTGTGATCTTCTGACTGAAAAGATCCAGTTCCAGTCAATTCACTGTTGCCTTAGATGTCAGTGTGTAGTTAATTCATTTCATCTTTCACTTTGTTGAGCTTTTCTATCTTTATGTTCATACTGCCTATGTTCCATATTCCCAGTATAATATTGTACTTGCAGCTTTGGATTTTTTCCTCCTGCATGACAACATACAGCAACTAGATGTCCCGAAGGCTTTAATCTAGCCACATCAAAAACACCACTAGTAATCCAACAGATCATGTGCTGTTGAGTGCCATTTGACCTGAAAGTCCCCTCATCCAGGACTATAGTTTTACCCAAGACTATATATTTTACCCATGTGGTTTTCTTGCTAAAATACAGAAATTGCTTAGCGTTGCCTTCTCCTATGCAGTATGAAAAGATACCTCTGTTGTTGTCAGTAAAGTGATTATCCACCACAAGTATCTTCCCATATTGCTGCTGTCCAGTTAGGTGCCTGCTTGTTTTAGCTGGGCAACTGTGATGACTTGGGTAATCCTGCTGGGATTATATACCCTTATATATGGTGTCCTTTGCTCACTACTCCCATGAACAGACCTTACCATGATGAGGCAACACAGCAGGACTTATGGTGGAGTTCCCTTTTAAAACCATCTAAATTGGTGGTCTTCATTTCTCATAGCAGATATTTTACAGTTTAATTGTATGCTGTATAAAGGAACACTTCCTCTGAATCTCCAGTGTGTCAGAACTAGGCAGGGGGTAGGGAAGAGAAAAGACATAAAAGCACAGGAGGATCTAGGCATGCCATAACAAATGGGGAATAATGCTGAGGTGGGGGATCCAGGTAATAGAGTGAGTTTAGAAGTGAAATATGTTCCATTCATCAACATTGAGAATCTTTGGTGCTCTTGACTGAAAATGCATTACTCAAGCTGAGCTCACCCTCTATTAGTGGTTAGATACTTCTGTGAGTTTTATCTCCATGGTAACTGAACATCTCCCTGGTAAGTACATAATAAAAATGTGAAAGAGGTGGATGCCAAGCCACAGACAGCTTTGATTGTATGACATATTCTTATTTGGGAAGGGTTGCCTCTTATTGGAAAAAAAGAAAAATGCAAACTTTAGCCAGCAACTCAAAGCAGGCTTTGAATCCATTGAGTGGTACAGATGTGGTGATGGTGATGTTTTCACGTAACAGGATCTCTTGCTAGACATTCAGTGCAGCCTCCAAAAATTGGGTAGCCAGGACAAAAGTAAATTTTAATGTTAATTCACCTAAAATGAGATTGCATTCATTAAATACTTTACTCCTCATGTTTTTAATAATATTGTCCTTTGCCCACAATGTCATATTTAGATAGATGACAACTTTTGGATGGTCCCTGAAGAAATTGTTGATTGTGCATTTCTGTCTCTACATTTAAATGAGCTGCTCCAAGAATTCCAAGAAGATCCTTCCCTAATCCTCACTGAAAATACCAAGGGTTGAACCTGGAGACCTTTAACGTGCAAACTATTTGTTCCACCACTGAGCTGCAATCATTCTCAGTGGGACTATAAGAAGCTCTTCATACTGACTCAGAAATCTGGCCTATTTAATAGCATTGTTCTTGAAGTATACTATACTAATAATGGCTTTCAATGATTTCTTATTGATCTTGCTTGCCACTACTTGGAAATGCTGGCAGTTGAACCTGGGATTTTCTACTTGCAAAGCATGCACTTTACCATTATACCACAGCACAAAGAGTTTACAGGGTAGGTAGTGGGGAGAGAGAATGGGGTCAAGTTGATACTTTTTGCATGGCAGCATGAGAGCGATCATAGCCACCATATAATCACTGAATATGCTGGCAAGACCCAGAGGAGAGGCAAGAAGAAGAAGAAACTCTAGCCTAGTTTCAAATCTCCTATACAATTCAGATGTCTGGAAAGAACTGGTAGCCCTTTTCTGCAATCTGAGGCTTAGGAAAAAGAGGGAAAAATGGAGTGTCAGTGATAATTGGTATTATTATTGCTATTTATTACAGGTATATGCTGCCCATCTCCCAGTGAGCCTGGGCGGTTTATGAATTATTTAAAATGTGAAAAATAAGACATTAAAAACAACAAGAAACAATGAGAAGGGTAAAGATGGCAGGATGACAAAGCAAGTGGAAAAAAAATACATACTGGGTCAAAAGGAGGCTATAACCCTCACCAAAGGCCTGGGTGAAGAGCCAGATGTTCAGGGCCCTTTGAAACACCAGCTGGGTGGGGGCCATTTGGATCTTGGGGGGAAACCTCATTCTAGAGGGTAGGTGCTGCTACACAGAAGGTATGCTTAGGAGGTCCCAATAGATGGCATTGCTTAACTGGAGGAACCTGGAGTGTGCCAACCCTGCCAGATTGAATTGGCTGGGAAGACTCACAGTCCCTCAAGTGACCAGGCCCTATGCCATGTAGGGTTTATAGGCAGCAACCAGCACCTTGAATCGCATCTGGAAGCAAACTGGTAACCAGTGCAGCTTGCAAATCACAAGTGTTACATGGGCATACTGAGGCATGCCCATTATGGCCCACGTTGCTGTATTCTGGACCAGCTGAAGCTTCTGGATGGTCTTCAAGGGCAGCTCCATGTTGAGTGCATTGCAGTAGTCAAGCTGTGAGGTGACCAGGGCATGAGTGACTGATTGAACAGCCCCCCAATCTAAGAAAGGTTGCCCCTGGTGCACCAGATAAAACTGTGTAAAGGCCTTCCTGGCTACAGCTGCCACTTGTTCAATGAGCAGGAGATGTGATTAGACCTCTAAAGCTTTATAGCTGGAGCCCAGATTATGAGAGAAAAGTTCCCTCTACATATAATTCCTCTCCTGCCCATAGCCTCCACTCCAGGTCATCCAGAAGAGTTGATGATCCAGCTGTGGCAGGCTCATCTCATGGTGCTTGGAAGGTCAAGCCTTCTCTTAGATACCCATGCAGCAGAGGTGCTACGTGCAAAGCCCTAGAGGTGCCCGTAACTGCCTGTCCACTGCATTCTGCACCAGCTGCAGCTTCTGGATACTTTTCAAGGGTAGCCCCATGTAGAGTGCGTTGCAATAGTCAATACTGATTTTCCATCTAGCCTATAGCTCTGTTATTTCCTAGTGGTCTTCCTTCCAACTACTAACTAGATGAGATCACCTGTCAGCTTGGGACTGCCACCTAGCTGGGGCCTCATTTATTCGTTCTTCAAAGATATTCCAAATGACTTGATCAAAGAAAGCTGAGAGCAACTATCACAACCAAGGCCAGAACAATGATACCCACCATACACAGGCACATATGTACATTTAACAAGCCTTCATTCCATTTGCTAGAGTTTGTACTGATGCTGGATAAATGTTTACTCAAATCATGCAACATTTCAAAAGCGCTCAGAGGCTGCAGCTCCCTTCCCATAATCCCTTGCAATCAAGCAGATGAAAAGGGAAACAGTGGACAGCACATGGAGACAGATGACAGGGATAGCAGAAGCTTGTTGAGCTGGGGAGTCATTCAGCATCAAATGCACTTTTATATTCAGGCTGCATATCCTTTCTTTGAATAAAGGAATGCTCCTCCTCCCTTGGAGTAAAAGACCAGGAAGTATCAGGGAAGGGGAGCAACTTTAATTTAATTTGCTTTCATTAAATAGCCAGAGATCCTTGTTGCATTTTATTTTTGACATGCTAGAATAAGTTGACCAGTTTGACTTTGTGCAACTTGACTTGCCTGGCTGGGGGAGCCCATTTCCTACTTCACCTCAAACAAGGAAATGTCCTTGATCAGTCTGGCTGGAATTCTTCCTAATCTTGCATTGGAAATATCTAGCTAGGATTGAACCATGGACTGTACCGATTAAATAATAGCTTTGTCTTCAAGCAGAAGCTGAACAGCATTCTGCAGGAAAAAAATGTGGATTTCCTGTTAGAACAGTTTCTTGAACTTATATGGTTTATATATGGCCATGCATGGCTCCCTCTTCACTTTGCAGCTTCTATGGTTCCATAGATCTGGAACCAGCCTTGTCCTTCCATGCCACAGAGGCTGTTGGCATCCTAATTTGAACTGCACCATTCACCTTACCCAGAAATTGCTTCCCCTTTGAGACGTGGTTGCATAATCCATAATCACTCCATCAATCAAGCTTCCATGGGTGGACACAATTGCATCTTTCTGCAGGCAGCTTCATCACCTCCTCCCCGAGCAGTTCTTCAGGTGGGTTGATCAATGTTTCAGTGCAGGGAAACCCAAGGTAAACATAGCACATAGCCCCGTTGACCTGCTTAGCCGCTGCTTGTCCCCGAGCCTCACCTCACCTCTCTCCCCTTGCCTCCCCTGTTGCCCTGTTACCCGCCTCGCCTGGCTCCCTGCTCCTTCCCGCTCTCCAAAGCCCTCGCCTCTTTCCACTTCCAGTTCTCCGCAGGACATTCCGAGCGGCCGCTGGAGCCGCTCAGGAGATGCTGAAAAGAGCGTCACTGGCTCTTAGCAACGCGCCTAGCAACAAGCTAACATCTTTTCCCTCTGGACCAATCCGGGAAGGAAGGGAACATCTGGGCGCCCGCCTCTCTGCTTTCTGAAGAGAGGAGGCGATGAGCTCGCCAGTGACCGCAGGGACCCGCAGGAAGCTGGCCGACGGGAGCGGGAAGAGACCAGCAGAGCCCTCGCATCAGCCTTCCCCTTGGGCATGTGCGCCGTTGGGAAGGTAAGCAGGGCAGGGCAGGGCAGGGCA